GAGAGAGAGAGAGAGAGAGAGAGAGAGAGAGAGAGAGAGAGAGAGAGAGAGAGAGAGATAGAGAGGTTGAGAAAAATTAAATTTATAAAAAATAAAATTATTTTCACACTCATAAAAAAATAATTTTATTTTTTCTACGTTCACACACACGCGAACACACACACACACACACACACACACATTACGATTCATATAATTATTTTTTTTTAAACTGTGCAAAACTCCTGAGAGACAACTTGATTTTGTGATGAATGTGGCAGATATATTCGTGTCCTTACAACAGTTATACACATTGGCCCGATATGTATCGGTTTATTCGCAAATCTTAATTGAACATTCCAAGTGTCAGACGAAAGACTCGATCGAGATTATTAGTTCTCGTTGTTGCTAGCACGCCAATTGTTAGCATTTCCGGTCGATGCCTCGAAGGGAAATTCCACGGAGTGTACGCTATAAGGAGAACTATGTGCGTAGAATTTCGTGAATTTCTCCGGGTCTGTTGTATAATCATCTTATGAGTTGCCTCGAAGAATCGATGCGCGCGGGATAACATTATTGGCCGGCACTACTTATTAAAAGTAAGTTTTTGAAGTTTCTCTTATAACTATATGTGTCTTATGTCTGTATGCGTCTCGTGAAATCCTGTACGTATATGAAGAGTGTAATAATATTTAAAAGCAGGGTGAACTCTTGGGACTTATATTGCACGAATGACCATATGATAAAGAAATCGCGTCCCTCTGATGCGAGAGCGAGCAATTAACGTCTTGTATTAAGTTAATACAATTAATATCGCAAGATGAACCTTCCCATGGCTGCGTAATCGAAATCCAGTAAGGAAACCCGATCCTATCTCCTAGTGGGATGTTGTAATGTAAGCGCTGTGAAATTTACACGGTTTGCTCCCGGTGTACAAAGCTGCATATTTTGTGTTTAGTGTTTATCAAATATCATAAGAAATTAAGATCATTCCCCGATAAAAGATCGATCAGGCAAAATAATAAAAGAAAGTAGGACGATATCTAAAAATTATATGAATTATCAACGATATTGAATGTAGTAATAACTGCCATTGACAGTGTGACACGTCGACTAACCGTTTACCCAGTAAAGCGTGGTTGTGTTCGCATTCAGTTCCGTAATGGAAATTATAAAATTATATTAATACTCATTTTCATTTCAAACTGTGTGCAGTATCGACTTTTTTTAAATATTTTTGACACTCGTATAAGCTTCCTTTTCCTCTCTCTATTATTTTAGTAGAGGTTTTAATTAACTCTCATTTTAATTAACAAACATAAATTCAATTAGAATTTACTTTAGATTTTACTTTAGAATTTACGTTAAATTGAATTTCTGCGTTGCATTGTAGTCTCTCGTATATATTTTATATTTATTTATTTTATTATTTTATATTTATTTATTTAGTCCTTATTAGAAGACATTTTCTATATTTGTTTTATACTTCCGACACTAAGAGCTGCGTCGATTTTTAGAGACAATCTCGTGACAATTTGGAGTAGCTTATTAAACGGCAAATTAAAGCTTATTAAAGATTAATTAAAGATCAAAGACACAATCGTTAGTCGTTGACTCGTCTACGATGGAAAAATCGGTCGCGGAATTGTATGCCGTCTCGAGAATGATAGTTGTAACGTAAGCATAGCAAGGGGAGGTTGCGTCAAATGGCGCTAGCGAAGCAGCATATCTTATTAGAAACAAATATTCATGTCACATACCCGGCGCCGGCTGGTGCCAAGTGTTTGACTGTTACCCTACGCCGCACGTGCGTGAGAGACCGGGCGAGCCCAGCATATCTACTCCGTGTTTCAAAGAAGTTTGAAATAATATCGAACGAATTTTTCCATTCGACCCGTAACCCCTTCCCGTCCCCGTCCCAACCCCGCAGCAAGCGTTCACCCGCGTCGAAATCCAAATAACCAAGCGCGGTTGGATGTGTCTCCGTCCACTCGCCGGACATATATTTTTAAAGTGCATTCGAGAAGACTCGTGTTTGATGCGAATATCGAAAGGTACCGTCTCGTGTTTTTCGTTCGGCGGACGCTGAATGCGAACACAGCCACGCTTTACCGAGTAAACGGTTGGTCGACGTGTCACTATTAATGGCAGTTATTATTACATCCGATATCGTCGATAATTATATAATTTTTAGATATCGTCTTACTTTATATTATTTTGCTATTCCAGTTATTTTCTGCGATATATTGAATATCGCAAGATCAGCAGATGTGTACTTTTCATTATAGATTTCTCGCCGTATTTGGAAATCGACTTTACCTCGCACCGTAAATATCGGAGCAGATACACAGGTCGAGTGATAAACGATTTTAAATATTGTACACATCGACGTATTTAGAGACGTACTGCATTATCATTATATCCATTTCACAAAGATAACAATAGCGTGCGACAGAATATGATGCGACAGAATATATCAGGTATGCATTTGTGTCGCAAATAAGCGCAAAATATCATAAAAAATATTTAAATTTTCTTGAAATCTCTTGACATTTGAAAATAACAAGATGTGACGTTTTAAGATTGTCATTTTGTCTCTCCAATTGTATCATTTCAGAAAGATTAAAAAAATTAAGATTATATTACTAAATAATCGATATAGAAATATGTGTAACATCTTATTTGTGAGTATGTGTGTGTTATAAAAGGAGGAATTAATAATATATATATAGATATCGTGACAACTTGTTCGAAGAGAATTTGTGACTAATAATCTTATGATCTATAATTTTTCTTTATTTTCTTCACAGTGAAAACAAAGCACATATATTAAATAAATAAAGCGGTTGATCGTTCGTTAATCCTGACGTGAAGAGTGCACTGTTTCGAGAGAAGAGTATCGTGAAATATTACTTACCCTGATGAAGAGCAGCAGCTCTTTCAGATTAACGAACGAAAGTTTCGGCTGGGTTCTCTCACTATCTCTCTTCACAGCTGCCGCGATTTGGAAAGAATTCACGCCCATATCTCTTTGTCGATTTGCAAAGATTCCAAGCTCTTTCTCCGCTTGACTTTACGAGCACATATATTCAATATTAAATTCCTGAAGTATATTGAATTATCAACACGTGCACTTTTGAGATAAAATGCGATGCAGCGCCTAAATATTTCGCTGGAAATGATCTGCAATCGCTTCGGCTAATTATTTATGATTTACTCCTGATCATTTATTCGTCTCGAATAAAAATAAAATGGCAAAAATAATATCGGTTTTATCAGTCGTTCGACTGATGTCTCGGCTGATGATTAGATAATTGCTTCTAATCGTATATTTAACGATCTAAGAAGATCGCGGTGAAAATAGTAATATCAATTTTATCGTTTTTCGTTATTAATGTTCAGGAGCTTCGAGGTCACCGCTCTTATTTGACTTTCTCCTCGGTGTTTCTAAATTGCTTTGAAATATTGATAGAATTTTTATAGAAGGATATCAGAATGTCGCTTCAGATACGTCTTCTACATGTTGAAAATTTTATGTCACACTTACCTTCATATCGGAGACTCGGTCGATATGCGAAAACGTCCTGCGACGATATATGTACATGCACTAAAGTTAATATCTCATATATTGAAACGTGGAGAAAAGAAAACGACAAATGAAATGCAATTAACGTGACATTTCTTTCGATTATTTACTTACGCGAGCACGATTGTGCAGTTTCGTTACACATTCCGTGCACAGTCAGTATCGATATTTAGAACGTGTCGACGCGATGTGTCCATTAATAACTATGAAGAAATAGACAAGCCGCAAATGGGTTCGTACAATGACAATGCGCAGTGTTATGTTTTATTGGCAGCTTCATATGCGACACACGAAGCTTCGTCTTTATTCCGCCATGATACTTTGGTTACAAGTATGTTCACAATTATTTACAAGGATTACTCTCTCTTTCTCTCCGAAGTCTACCTTCTTACACGACTATATTTATACAGTTTCGCTTTTTCAACGTGTCGTCGTCACGTTCTCACGACCGCGTTTTCACTCAGCCGAGGCGATCGCGCTCACGTCGCAGTCATACAAAATTATGCGAGCACTATACATCGCGCACCGGGGAAAGGAGGAGAACGCCGTCGAGAAATCATATCGAACGCCATTACGACTCCGCGATTATCGTTTATACAGGAATATAGATTAGCTCTTATACGTTTGGTATACACTGTCAACAGTCGAACAATCGGCGGCGCGGCGCGAGCGGTAAGCGCCCGTCCGGGGTAGCGCTCGCACCACCCCCGAGTTCGTTCGTGCGCGGAACGATTGTCCCATGTAACAACGCGGGGATGCAACTTCTTCTTCCTCCCTAATGTACACATCGTATCGGTCTCGACCGTGAACGAAGACAACGCGATTCGTTTAACTAGTCCGTAGTTGAACACCGATCGAGAAGCATGCAAGCGCGTCGAAAGGTTCTCCTAGAGCACATTTCCACCTCGCGAGGGGAACTTCCCTCAGGATACGCGCAGCGAGCCATGCGGGACACCTCGTATTCGCGTCAACTGAGTCGAGGAGTCTCTGTGTGTGTATGTATTATATCTTACAAAAAGTATACCTCGTGTCGACCAGAACGCAATGGGAAAGTAGTTGTTTCGTGCGCGATCAACGTCAGGAGAGACGATAGACGGTTGTCTCTAAAATTATATTCGAGAAAGCAATTACATCTTGCTCGAAGAGAAATTTGCCTGAAGTTCTTTTTAGAAAATAAGAAAACAAGCAAGCCTGCACGAAAGTCAGAATATTTAAAAAATTCAGTGCAGAAATGAAATATTTTCGACAATGCATTTCTAATCATATTGACGTAAATGGCTGCTGGAAAAAACCTCTTCCATACGGAAAAAGAAATTTGGTTGGATTAATCAAATATCTAATGAAATATGAACGAGCCAGAATTTCGTTCCAAGTTTTCCAGAATTCTGTTCAGGTTAACAAGATTCTGGTTAGCTAACTTGTGTTAACTTGGACAGAATTGGTAACTTCAGCCGGAACTGTGACTCGTTCATATTTCACCAGAGATTCGGTTAATCCAACCAAATTTCCTTTCTCATGCATGGTCGTTAAAATTGCTCGGGTTGCCGCTTCCAGCAATGATACGTCTCTACACATCGAAGACACGCCAGTAGAGTAGAAGGCAGTCTGCCGACTGATAAGGTTACTTCGTCTCTCTTGACGTTAACGCAGCGTAGACTTACGATACCGATCCTAAAGCTTAGTGGGTAAGAGGGAGGGAGCAGGGGCGGGGGATTAGATAGTCCTTAAGTGGTTGAGGAAATCATCCCTCGCATCATGCACACCGCTAACAGCATTTTCTCCCACATAGTATTCGAAGTTCCGTTTTCTCGTATTGTCTGATATTGCAGTCTGGAGGAGTATATCTGGAAGCGCAAAAGGAATGAGCCGCCGCAGGACTCGCCGAGACTGACAGTGACGTACAGCTGCCAGGTAACTGTCAGTGATAACTTCCACGGCGGGCGACTTAGGGATTTCGTGGATGTCTTGCGGCCATATCCCGCGCTACAGAAAATTCATCGGCAGCTCTCGCGTGAGAATGTTTTTCCCGTGGTACATCCATAATACATTTCACTTTCGGCGGACCGTATCCCGATACCGACCGTCGCCGAAGTTGAAGGCAAAAGTCGAAAAATAAGCGCGAAGAATCATATAATTCTGCGAGAGGCTTAGGGACAGAGAGGAGTGCTCCTACAATCCGATGTTATCCGTCATCGTCAACAATATGATCAACTACGAGGAGAGTGGTTCTCGCTTCTGCAATTTTGCATAAGCTCGTCGTGTCCGCGAGAGCGACGAGCGATTGGCGATGGAACTTCACCTATGAGAGGGATAATATGTGTCGCATTTCTTCGTTCCGACAGTCGTTTTCACAGGTCAGTGAAGTGAATTAAAACGATATCTTAGGCTTGATTAGTTTCCGAGCGACTTTAATTTAGCACGATGTTTTCCGCAGCCGATAGGTTGAAAACTATCGCAAGAGGAAGAAGCAGGGCTCAGCAGGAAGAGAGCAGGAAGAGTGAAAAATTCTAGAACGGATATTTGGATTTTTAGGCTTTTTTGCCACGGTGTTTTCGCTCGATAAGGAAGATATGATGTTATTTACGACTCAATAAGCGCAAAGAAACTAACGGCTGCAACAAGCTGCGCTTCGAAACTAAAGTAAATAAAAGTAGCGCTATGAAAAAGATAAGCGTGGATATAGCAGAACAAAAAAAAACGAACATAGTTCAGAAATCGTACGTTATATATCGACTCTTCTACGTGAAACAAAAAAATATACTTATATACGGACAATATCGGGTAAATGTAATAAGGAGGGAACTGACAAACCTTGCGCCACGTGGAAAATCGTATAGCGCGGATACAATGAGGAATATCGCGAGAACGTTACAGAGAAGAAAAACTAAATGGAAACGTGTCATCGTTTTGCAGTGCCAGCGCGCGGACCGAAAGGGACGATACGAAGAGACGATAATTCACGCAGATAAAAAGGAAGTTAGCTAATTCTCTTCGTTTCCAAGGCTTTCGGAACTTTACACCAGTTCCCGATCGACCCACTTAAGACTCATAAAACAAACTTCTCAAGCTGTTCAATTGTGTCGTAGAAAAATCCGTGAACAGCCCGGCAGTTAGAGCGTCAAACTATATCAACGCTGGCATACCAATGCGAAGACCGATTGTTCAGTATTGTCAACACGACAGAAATCCATGAGAAATATCAAAAAAAGAATCGCCGCGATCTTGACTTATTTATATCGTGATTCATAGGTATCATGACGGGAACTTTATTCTGTAACTTTGGGACGCGGGAATATTGCGGGCGCACACACACCCAAGCGAGACTTGGGTGTTGCGGAACAACATCGGCCATTCTCGCAGCGACGTGTTGAAGCGCGCGCTCCTGAAACTACATCCTTGGTCCGGCAGGTCGGAACGGAGAAACGAACCGACTGCGAGCGCGCGATAAACCAACCGCCGCGCAACCAGCGCGCATACGTAACTATCCATACCCCCTTGTATGCACCGCCTCGACGGGCTTACACGTCGTACCTCTCGGGACTTTAATAAGCGTAACCGGCAGGGATTAAGCGAACGGCCGAGAAACGGGACCGGAATCTACGGCCGGCCATACGAAGTGGCAGACGGTCGTGGACTGGCGCGAGGGGGTGCTGCAGCTGCAACTTTACAGGGACGACTTGGCGCCGTAGTTCAAACGGAACGGTAAACCCGTTTGGAAGTCGTACGAAGGAATCGTCGACGTCGTCGGGCATTGCGACGACGACGACGACGACGACGACGGTGACGGTGGCGGTGGCGGCGACGATGAAAATGGAGGCTGGAGGTGAAGATGAGAACGACGAGAGGTAGGAACTCCGGCGAGCCGTGAAATCCTCTTCACTTCGGCTCCCGCCTGGTTCGATGGAGCCGTATCTCACGCGGCCGTTCACGCCGCCTTATCCGCCCCGCGGATAATAATACCGCACAATTACTCCCGAGATGCTCGAGTTCGCGAAAGAAGGGAAATAAAATCAGCATAAAGCGAGAGAGCCGCCAAATGGCGCGGCCTCCGCGCGCGCGGGCCTTCTAATGAAAGCGCAGAGGAGGCCGTCGAGGGGTGGCAGCGGCGGAGGAAGCGGCGGCAGTGGTGGCCCTTAAATTAATTCACGATGAATTACGTCCGCGCCAGCTGCGCGGGCAGTTGTGTTTATTTATGGTGGAACTAAGATCTTCTTCGTAGTCCTTAAAGGCGGATTCGCCCTTATAATTTCTCACGGTGACCGAGAGAGAGAGAAAGAGAGAGGTGGCCCGCCTCTACGTCGTTGCCCGCGTCGGGTCCTCGAGAGGGACGATAATCGTCCTGGAACGAGGATTTCGTGCGATGAAATAAGAGGGAGCGGGCCGCGAGCGTGTCGCAAACGAGCGCGATTCGTACGGGCAGCTGGGAAAAGCTTCGCGATTTTCTCTCTCTCTCTCTCTCTCTCTCTCTCTCTCTCTCTCCGCTCCTCGCGCGCTGTTTTTCGGTCGCCGAGAGAGCGACTATTCATTGGCACTCGCGTGGACGCTTGAGGACATTTTGTGCGAACTGAGCTTTTTTGTTTTATTTTTATGACTGCCCATTTCGACGCACAGGTTGCAGAGGAAAGAGGAGAGTGACGAATGCGACACGTTGCATATTACATCGAACGCGCGATGGTCCACTGGTTAATTGAAGGGCTCCTCGCGAAAACGTTGCAAGCGACAAGTTTATCAGACGCGATGTTTCAATGGAGCAATGTGGATAGATAGTGTGGTAGGGAAGGGGGATGGAGGGGAAGTAATAGTTCCTCCGCAGTATTAACCGTCCTCTAACTCAGCAAACTACTCGTTTTATTAGACATTTCGTCGAACAAAACGTTTCGGTTGAATTGATCGTTGAATGCAACGGTTCCCTGAAAACAGCCTTTACGAGGGAGCGAATTTTAAATTTTTACAAATTTTTGTAACAAGTCCTGCTATTGGTGGTAAGAAAAATAAGACGCGAAACAATAGGATAAAAATCAAACAATCGCATTTAGATAAACAAAAGCGGTTTATGTGCAATAATAGCGATGGTTTTTCGCGCTGAAAACGGCCTTTCGTCGTTGTCGTCAGTTCAGGACTGCGAATGATCTAAAACGTGTAGCGCGGGAACTTCGTTACAGAATTTTACGGTGACTTCGTAATTCGATAAGACAGTGAAAGAGTTTACTTTCCCTTGGCGCGATTCGCGCGTGAAGGAAATTCGGCCGATACTTAAGAATAATTAAGTGTGGCCGAAGCGATCACCAGATCAAACGCATCGCGGTGTGGGGGAGGACGGGGTAGATTTTAGCAGGGCACGTGTGTACACATACGATGGCTCCTGCGAGAGCTGTCGGCGAGTCCTGATAACGAACCGCGAAGCGTGACGAGACGCAATTTCGCTCGCTATAAAAATCCAAAACCATGCGCCCGCGGGAACGCCCGATTTATTTAGGCGAGTGAATACAACACTCTGTCACAGCGAGGCTGGCGCGTGGCGAGACCGATGCGATCGATTTTATTATTCCGCGACCGTGCTGGATCCACTTTGCGGAACCGCGTCCGACGACGCAGATCCGAAAACAGAGTCGGATCGGCCAACATTTTTCACACGCCATTAACGTCGCGACGCTCGCTGTTGCGCGGCATTTAGTGTAATTAGAGAGATCGCTGCGAAAACCGGACGTCACGGTAGCGACGTCGCTACTGTGCGGTATGGTTGAATAAAGCCGATCGTAATGAAAGAATCTATCGTTACGGAACGTAAACATGCTATGGGATGGAAATATAAAAATATAATTAGTATCGCTTATATACTCTCTCAGCTTCTCTTTCTTTCTTTCTCTCTCTCTCTGTTTCTCTCTTATATTTTCTTTCTCACACACAAACACACAGCACTACATACCATACACACACACGCGTGTTTTTCTGCACATTTACCCGGAGCAACTCGCGTATCAGAAAAAGGATCGATTTATCGAACACTTATTAGTTGTTTCGCCGGAAACAAACAATCGGATATCAGAGCGGATATCAGTGCCCGATCATAGGACGCGCGATCGACGAGATTTCTCGTTGATATTCGTCGCGTTTTGATTAAATTGCTCCTAAATAACCGCAAATTGCATTTCACGCGCCACGCAGATTTCCTTAGAAACATTGTTATTGTCGCAAGTATTTTTTATGTGTATTAATTGTTGCTGGAAACATCAGCGTTGCTTTATAGTTGCTATTTTCGTTTCATATTTTTCTCGATAATTGTATTTTACGTGTCGGGGTTGTGAACAAAATAATAAGTTTAACGTCACGTTTACCACATAAAGGTTCGTGTCCCCTCGGAGATAAAAATGCACGGGCAATCAATGCATTCGCAAAAATATTCAGCTGCGTTAGCTTAAAATACCACATCAAATTTGCGAATGCGAAAATAGCGGATTCATTGTCCTGCCATTAAATTGTTCGATAGGAGGAAACGGGAAATATGTTTTGCCCGTGCGCGTAGGTCTCATTTACTATCTAAAAATGTACTGTCCTTACACGCGTTATTTATTAACTTCGTCGAATTGTACGAACAGTTTCTCCCTGTCTTACAAAGCGTACACGATCGAGATTTTTATTATTGAATTTTCGTTTCTAAGGAAAGAGAAACTTCTGTAAGTGGACACTTTCCGCTTACACACTTTAAGCTCGTATCAAGCCAAGAGTTTTATGATCTTGACGGTCGCTCTCAAAGAATAAAGTTCCCACGTAAATACCCGTTGAATATCATTCGATTTTACTTTAACCGGAGAATTCTAATATCTAAAGCCGCGCTCTTTCGAAAGTAGAACACTCGAGTTCTACCGGTCATCGAAAATCACTCACCGCCGCCTCGCCGCTATCGCGGAGTTTCTTTATCGAGGGTCGCCGATATATCCGGTGAAAGCGGAGCTCTCCGAAATAAACCTTTCTCGAAAGGTCACACTTAATTCCGCGTTGACCACCGACGAAGTTTTACTGTCGAGAGCTGTTGTGTAATCAGGGCCACGAAAAACCTTCGAGCAGCGACCCGCAAACGTGGCAAACAGCAACGTGCAAAACACGGGGGAAGGAAGAGGAAACTTCGCGCAGAAAGAAAGTAGAAGTAGAGGTGCGCGCGATCGCGCGTCCGCGATCGGGGCGTATGGCGAACACAACTTCGGGGCCGCAATCGAGATTGGTCCGGGGATTGATCGAGAGGATCCGTCAAGAGACAGACGCACGCATACACGCACGCACGCGAGGCGGCCACGCTACTTCCGAGTCGTTTAAAGCTGTCGATACTCGTTAATCGCGATACATATTCTATTACACACCGGCGATCGTATAAGGGGCTGTCTACGGGACCGTTACGCCGCTCACGCGCGATTAAGGAGCGGAACGGCGGGGGAGGAAGAATTAGGGGGTAGGTGGCACGAACGTGTTAGTTACCCTGACGTGTCAGTATGCACACATATACACGTGCAAGCGCGTGCCCGTTATATGATACACGTACATATATACATCGCGTAGACTTGCATCACGCCACCGAAACTGAAGAGTCAAGGTACACGGAGAAAATATTGTAGTAAAAATTACAAATCAACTTTTTGGATCGTACAGAATTACGATTGGAATTAGTTGCTGCAAAATATTGTTACACGTTTGACTGTTTGCTACAAAGTTATTGCAATTCTTTGAATGTTTTTTTTATATCATATACCAAGTAGATTGTCAAATCTACTAATTTCTATAATTTTCACTTACAGCACAATTCCCGTGTAGTCCAGCTTTACAAAAACATTGTGTAAAAAGAAGTGTAATGTAATTTTTATTATATTTTCCCCGTATAAAAGTACCGATGACTCGACACGTACCTAATTCTGGACGTTTTTATTGTTTTGGTCTTTAATTACCGTCCAGATTTCTTGAAGTGAGGTTTCACTCGAAAAGTGGAGTGACCACAGAGTCACCCGAATTCGAATGAGTTTTCATTCGTATAGAGTAAATCTGATCCTTTGAGTGAACATTTCTATTCGAAATTAAAAAGTAAAATTGACATATTTCATCGTCACAGAAATATATTCACTTTAATTGATCGAAATGTTCGCTCATACTCAATCCACTGTAAGTTAGAGTGAAACAGTCACTCTTGTGATTTCGAGTGACAGTATTGTCATTATTTCTTCAAGAAAATACCTCAAGTGAAGCTGTCACTTCTTATTCGTTTTGAGTGAGATTCCGCTCCAAGAAATTTCGAGAATATTTAAATTTTCGACATAGAATATATATATATATCTGTGTTTGGTTGAAAATTTAAATATTTGTATTTAAAGATTAAAGCAGTAAGAATGTTCAAAGTTAGGTTCGTATCCAGATATTAGTGCTTTTACCTTACACATTCTCTTGGTTTTTCCGAGCCGGGTGGAATGTTATCTGATGACTATCGTCACTTGGAGATGTCTTTTCTTCTTGCCCTTCGGTCTCTACCGCTCCTCGTTGTCTTCCCTCGTATTCTATCGCGTTCGTCGCTTCTTTCTTCGTGATATATTAATTATCGCGTTTATCCGAAACGTCGCTTGTCCGCCGAGATCTCAATCGATCGAGCATTCGCATGATTTCATTTGATAACGTGTATTCTACCATATGATAAAACAGAGAGAGGATTGATCATTTTTTGCATAATTTGCGAGATTTGCAACTCTGCTCGACTGACGTTGATGTTAATCTCAGTCTCGCTGAGGGCATATAAAACGGCGACATACGATGCGCCGCAAAATGAGATTACATCGCGTTACCAGAATCAATTTTGTAAAAATGAAGTAATCGGGGACATTGTCTCGAATATCGGAAGTAGTTCTGACCGAAATCATATCTCAGAATTTAATGAACGTAGCACTCACCGGTTGATTCCAGTCAGTCGATGCAATCGCTAAGTCGCAACGATCAAGATACACTCCGTATCGCGCATCCTCGTTTTCAGCCCCACCTGGCTCAGCCCTTCCACGAACTTCCGGCATTGATTAGGTCTACGAATGACGAATAAGTCACTCAAGGAAGACGATACGTCGGCGGCAGTGGTGGTGGTGGCGGTGAGACTTTTAAGCCCTCTCGAAGTTGTTTTCGTTGCGTGATGTCGTCGTAAGCTGTTGAACGCTCAACGAAGCCCGAAATTCGCGCTCGTTCCTCCTATGCGAGGACGGCTATCGAGCGTGAAATTCGAGCTTATGCTTCATTCCACGTGACTTCCTGTCGCTGATCAGCTGGAATCAAAGAGTCACGCGTTCGAAGAATAGCCCGGGATCTATCCTCAGATAAATCCTAAAGTCCGGTCAACGACGAGGCACGTCGCGAACGTATCTCTCCCTCTCAGGGCTTACTCAGCAGCCCGCAACAGAAGCAACTTCGGAGCAACTTGTGTCGTGGAGTGGAGTGTCGATAGAGTGACACGTTTCTCCAAATGTGGTTGCGCTGTCGGTGAAATCGGTGCCTTGACCCGGTCCTTGAGATTCCTCGGCTCGTTCTCGTCTCTCACCACCACCACCTTCGGCAGACGACCATCAGTGACACCAATGACGACAAGACGACGGAGAACCGTCGCGAGCAAGGGTCGGTGCCCGATTTCGCGTTAATCACTGGTCGTTTCTTGCCGCTACGGATTGCGGAGGGCGGCGTAGCGACCGACGCCGAACCCACGTGTCCGTGCACCGTGTTGTCCACTGCCAGTTGCCTGTTGTCTATCTTGTCTACCTCCGCCGAGCCGAACACCGACTCGTCCTCCTCGTCGTCGGAGGTCGTCTGCGTCTTAGCCGGCGCGGCGATATCTGCAACAGCGGGAAGAAATGCGGTTCCTGGCTAAGAGCAAGAAATAGTTTCGAACGAAGCAGCATGCGGAAATGTCTTTGCTTATTCGTAGTTACAGGAGCAAGAACCCGAGTCAAAATTTTGACCTGAGAAAATTACTCCTTCGACCTTAATGCTCCATTCAACGTCTACTTTGATACTCTGAAACCTATATCAACCTTTTTTCATTTCATTGAACTTAGCAATTTTGTCTAAAGGTCTTTTCTAAAACCTACAAGTGGTATTTCGTGCGTTTTTATCACTTGAAGATGCTGAATAAGGCTTTAGTTCCTATGATCCTTCAAAATATACAAGTGTTAATAAGTTTAGATCAAAAGTAGGGCTAAAATTTCGATTCGTCCACTCGTGTTGTTGAATGGTGTTCTATTATTATACGATCAAATGAGATGTTGCAGCTCAATTCAAGTTGCAACATTGAGCGATTACATCTTCAATGATTACGGGGACCATTAATTAGACATTTGTAACCCACAAGTATACATGATCGTATAAGACTGATATTCACGTGGCATATCTGTTCGGCCGGCACGAACCCCGAGGGGGAGAGCTTTCTCGTAGTTGCTGTTTCAAGGAGTGGCAACATTGCGAATTTATCGGCGCTTATCCGAGAATTCTGACACTTACGCTACAAACTTTACCCATTGGGAGTATCTTGAATAAAGGAAAAAAAGTCAGGTCGAGAGGCGCTCGGAGATAAGACAGCTTAACTCGCGTGCACACTGTTCCTATGCAGAGAGTTTAATACTGGGCGAGGGTGGACACGTGCGTACAACATCCGTATATGTACAGCGTGTTTTCTGAAGTTTCTACGGAATAATCCCGGAAGCGTATTCCACGCTGGGTCGCGCTGAGATTGTCCCTCGACGAAAATTGATCGGATGTCTCATCCTCTTTAGCGAACTTTATATTTTCGGCTTTACGAGGATCCCGTTAGCACTAGGCAGTCAGTCAGACAGGTAGGCAGGCAGAAAACGTGAATGGAGGGTAAGCTTCTTTTTTCTCGCACCTTATGTCACCTTTAAATTCTCGTACGCGAATACGTCGTTCTTACGTCCATCGTCCCGTCTGAAGATCCTGTTTTGATGGATCGATAACGCACGACGATTTACGAACGCGAAGGGTGCACTCGCGTTCTGCAAGCCTGTCTCCTCTCGCATCCCGGGAGAGCCGCAAGCCAACCGTGAAATCCGACGTCGTGCGCGCCGAAAAGATGAGGATTGACCGAAGACCGTCTGCCACTGATATAGAAGGCAGATCCTTCGAGGTTTCCGCCCGCAAAGTGACGATGCTTGTAAACGTGAGGCGTGTTTGCCGTAAGGAGGAAACCCTCTTATTCCTATCATCCCACGATCAGTCTCGGATGAGGGAGAGCGCCGTGGCGCGGATTTACCGTCGACGCGGACGAGACTCGAGCAACAATTTCCACACCGAGCTGCCGGTACAGAGGACTCGTTAACCTCGCGACCCGCCGCATTAATGTAGAAATAACAGGTCGTGCGCGAGAGCAGATTTCACCCCTCACCGCACCGCACCACGCCTCAGGCCGCCGCTTCGCGAGATACCCCGGTGTAACCGAGTTGCAACGTGGCAAAAAGCCGTTTCCGTGCTGTACTTCGTACGTTCGTATGCTGCGGAAGCAGTTGAGAGCCTTGTTACCTGGGCGCATTTAAGATCGTTTCGTTCGCGGCTACGCACCGACGTGCACTGCGTTTTGCACCGTTACATTACATATGCTGCCCCAACAGCGCATTTCTCGACGGATCCGCGCTATCGAGAGTTTTACTTTCAGTAAAACCTGAAATACTTGGGCGTATAAAAACGGGCGGAGTTGTTTGATACTGGGGATTGTTTTTCGATGAGTTGGAAAGAGAGAGAGAGAGAAGGAGGGAGGAAGAAAGAGAGAAAGATCGGTGATTGTATGTTTATCTTAGTCTTTGTCGTACGAATTTGGCTTTTGATTCGCGACTCAGTTGCCAACGAATCCCAAGTTCAGCAGAAACCTTGCGAAACACGTGCAATGACAAGTATTCACAGCGTATGAAATTAGATTCAATGGCAATTTAAGACTCTGCGCTGAATTCTGTATACTGAAGTTAAACCGAGTTTGTGTTTCACTTGGAACATTCATCCGCGGAAAATGATTTCCGCATTGCGTCCGATTCTTGATGCATTCTCGTTACTATTTTCCAGATATTAGTCATGAAATACAATTTCTGTAAGTTCAAGCCTGGAAGAGGCTGGCGCGCCCGGTATTAATAAATCCCAACGCAGCGTTATCTCCAAGGAAATAATTATTATCAGCCGTAACGTGCAGAAAATTAATCGCGGTACGCGGCACATTTACCGCGCGATTATAAGTACAGTAATTCATTCACAGTTTGCGGGAGCGAACTTTTCATCGTCGGTCTTCGCCGTGCAATTGTGTCCGATCTATCCGCGGGTTTTATTTCACGGTACGAATCTTAATCCCCGGCGTTTACGAATATCGAAAAGAGCGCAGGGAAGAAGGGGCGAAGGAGAGTGGAAGGAAAAGAGTAGAAGAGGTTGGCGGGGAGGAGAAAAGTAGGAAGAATGTACACGTGCATTGAAACGAAATGCAGCGCGGATAACGAAATTCTGCCCGTTTTGACTGTGTTCCGTCGTGTAACCGAATTAGGTATTCTTTATGGGCTCTCCCCGGGAAACTTCGTTTGATAACGGGTCGAAAACGCGCTGTGTACTCACCGTATAATCGAATACTGCTCTCGACATCGCCGAGGGAATTTTTGGCTGCACACCGGTACGTTCCCACGTCGTGTTTCTGCAGGTTCCGGATGGTGAGAGTCATCCGGACCTCGAACTGCGACCTCGTCACCGCCTGTACGTCGTGCCTGACGCTGGATATTATCATCGCGCCTTGGGAACAAAGCGGGGAGCAAAGTTGATTATCCCGATTCCGATAGAATAGACACGAGGCCGCACGAATTTCTCCACGAGAGCATGCAGTTCCATCGATTGGTATGCGATAATAACAAGCAACCGAAAATTACATGCGCAATTGGAGCAGAGAAGCACAGGATGTCATAACAGATATTGTTCGGGAAATGCAGATAATATTTGCAAGAAAATAAACTCAGTTAAATTCAATCATATTCCATGTGAGACGGCCACTGCATCAAATTCTTCATTCTGAACGTTATGCTGTTTCAATGCTATTCAATTGTTTCAATGATAACGTTGCGATAATCCGATGAAACCTAAAAGCTTTCCTGTTGTGCTGTACATGCAATCACGTTGAATTAGCTCAATCGTTCGCAATCGTTCCGAATTATTTTAATTAAACCCCAGAGAAAGACGTTTTCGCGCGTTACGCACGACGAAAAGTTGCAGGCAGGAGAGGTTACGTCTTTCGCTATAAATAAGACATCTCGCCCGTTCTCCGCTATGCTTTCTTATTACATGTTGAAACAGTTGCATATAATGGGAAACAAGTGAAAGGTATCTTCCACGCGAGACGAAATTGCATACGAATGCGTTGGAGCGAGGAGCTCCGGATAGCTGAGCGTGTGTTAAACCGGTAAGGAGGGACGTCTGCTCTTGCAAGGCGCGCAATCCACTGCGGGAATATTTCCGCGAGTCTGAATAAGTAATATTCTCTTATATCTATCTAAAGTTTTCCCGGCGAATTCTCTGAGCCAAGATATTATATGTCGTTGCGATATGTGACTGGTACTCGTTCATGCGGCGCAAATATCAAGCAGTTTACGGTGCCGAAGCTAATTTTTCAACGTTCCCGATAAAAGCGGCGCTGCTTCTTCTCGAAATACGTGTCGTGTATTTACGTGTCATCGTCTGTGCACGCGGGACACTCCGATCAAATTAGCTTGAAACGGAAGAGGCTTGTAAATACGTGCTTTTAAGCGGATAAGTTGCTCGAGGCTAACGATTTGGGAGAATACGTATCGTTCGATACCTATGTCCACGTGTATCTTCCACCCGTATATCGGTCAGAATATCGGAATATCGCCTAGACTAAAGTACGGTCCATAATCGGATTTGTCTTGCGAGAGTAATTAACGTTTGAACATTTCTCTGCTTGTTACAGTCGGTAATTAGTTAACAAACCAATCGCCGCTGTAACGGACCGTGTTAGTTGCGGCAAGTAGTGCACCGGTCAAACTACAACTATTTCACGCGGACACAATGCATTTTACGTGTGCGCTCACGAATTGGAATATAGTTACCGAATTATTCATTGTTGCATTGGGTAGCTTTTTTTTTCGCAAAAGGATGTAAAATATAAATCATTAATTTTATCATTAATTTTATCGTTAAAATCACTACACGTTATTTTAATGATAAATAACACATGCATATGCAAAAATGTACATAGAATAAGAGTTGAGAAGCTTTGCAGAGAAAGTTATTTTAGATTTATTTCAAGTTATCGTAGAATGGCAAGAAAAAATTCATATAATCAAATAGCGTACCGCAGTACACCGCTAATTTTTTACATCTTTGCTTTCAAATTCAAAATGTATTTAGTTTGCCCATAAATCTCTCCTGCCTCATTAAATGTAATGTATTAATTTATTTTCAGTGTGTATACTGGGAATTTCGACACAGTGATTAGCATGATATCGAATTTATAAAATTCGAAATCGACGCACGCGAAAAATTATGACAGCCAGACGAGTTCAACTACCGCAATATTTTCAATAAGATTAAAAACATGTTGCGAAATTTGTAATCATATAAAATCATATAAAATATCATATAAAATCATATAAAAAGTAAAAAATTATATTCCATAAACCAAAAAAATTCATCTGAAAATCATATTAAAAAAATCATATAAAAAACGGCAAAATAATTATCATTAATTTTCTTAATGCAGTATATCGCGAAACCTATCTCTCTTAGCGTCTATGAACAACATTTCCATAATAACTGAAATTGATACACGAACGATACGAGAGGAAGTATGCAACGTATTTTGATGTCCTCTAATCTAATGTCGCGATCGACGCGCGCCAGTCTGTCGCGCTATTACGCTAAAATATCACGGTACCGAAGTACCACAGTATCGGGAAACTTGGACCTCTTATGGCGCGCAATACGAGAGAGTTTTTAGTGAATGAACCAAGCGTGTCATCTCACCCTTGTCGTTTACCCAATAGTTGATCGACTTCGGGGACGCTTCGACGTAGCATTCCAGGACCACGTCGGTTCCCAGGGGCGCGCCGACCAGCTGATTGGGCACGTGAATCACTGGCGAAACTGTAAATCGAAGTCGGAGGATAGGATTGCATTTTCGACGGCAGCGCGGTGAAATCGAAGTGCAACGGAACTTTGTCCGACGTTGTCCGAACGGTAATCACTATTACTCACAATGAACGTTGATAAAAATACGTTTGCTGACCGCGGGTGGAATGCCGTTACTGGCGATGCACAGATAAACTCCCATCTCATTCCGCGAAATCTTCGTTATCTTCAAGTCCTCGCCCAAGTACTCGGTCACGGAAGCAGTTACTGAGAACGATGAAATTGAGGCATCAGAAAATAAAGAAATCAGGCCATCCGGTGAGAAATTCTTTTTATAATGTATTTAGTATTCATGTCTCCGCTCTCGGCCGATAAAACACTCTCTGATCAAATCAGAGTTGACTTTTTCTCGATAAAAATCTAATCAAGATCTAATCAATCTAGTCAAAATCTAATCAATCTAATCTTGTGCATATAGTGCAGCTCATATTAAAGTCTAATGATACGTAAATTTTCAACCATTAATTAATTAATTACCATGTAGAAAGGCTAATGAATAATTTGACATATTGCATATTGCAATATGTCAAATTGCATATTGCATATTGCATATTGGAAGAACGAAAGTTCTCTTTACTGATTAACAAAGATCGATGTACGATTAGAATTATTTTGTGTTCAATAAATATAGAGGGTAATGAATAGTAAAATATGATTAATAATAAGGAATAAATAGTATAAAATAATAAGGAATAAGTAGTATAAAATTAGTCACTAATTTGCACACGAGCTTGTACGCTTTATTCAAATCAATTTTTCCTGCAGAGTCATTAATCCTAATTTAATGACCTGTTTTTATGTAGTTAGTGGGAACGCTAAGTGACCTGTTCTCAATGGCTATTGTTATTTAATGAAGACCTACCACTAAATATACTACCATCCATTAAATTCAATGCAACTCAATTTCTATTTTTTTGTGGCTACGGTTATTTGCTTTCAAAGAGAGACATTTTTCCTAAATTTTTATTAAATATATATATATATATATATATAATGTTATTTTGTGTATGTGTGTGTCTGTGTTAATAAAACTTTTCTTTCCTCCCTCCCCGGCAGTTTACTTAGCTTTTCGTAGTTCACAAGATAAAAAATAAACATTTTGTTCGTCTATAGAAATTAATAAATGATAAACGGACAAAGAAAGTATAGAGTGAACGACTTGTCATCGAAGTTACCGAGGGCTGCGTTCGATAATAAATAAAGTAACAACTTTGTATAGTAAATTTATATTTGCCCTAATTATGCTTCTCCAATATTTCATCGCGAACATGCCATGTCTGCATATAATTTTAATACGAAATCCTAATCGTGGTTTCTAAATTCAGTTATACACCATTTCAGGTCATCTTGCATATAAAAATGTGTTAGGTGTAAATTAAATATTAATTAGTTTCCAAAAATAATTTCATTCTACCCAAAATATTAGTACAATATACTTAACAATTCAACACAATTCACATTTTCAACATGTATATATAGTATATGCTGACTTTAGCATGGATTAAAAAGGAATCTCGTATCAAGATTATGGTTTCATTGATTTGGATATCAAATTTAAATGGAAAATCTGGAGCGAACCAAAATCTTGAAATATAACATTATATAGGTTATTTGGATATGGTCATTATCTTTGAGAAGAAAAAGATTCTTTCTTCTATTGAGAAGAAAGAAATATTTATTCGGTGGATATACTAATGATGTATATTTATCTGTGTACTAATATAAAATATTTTTTAAATAATAAAATATACACTTTCTTAAAATCTTAAGATTCTTCCTTAACTTTTCACGAGAGTTTATTCCATTTAAATAAAAGAATTTAGATTTAAGTGAATATTAGTAGCCACCAAATAAATATTTATTATTTTTTAGGTATTTTTTCTCTCAGTGTACTTACTAAATGTATGTATATTTATTTACTAGTAATTTTATGTTAATAGGAGGGAGAAAGACAAAGTTTCCAAGAGAGTACGAAGTACAGAAAGTATAGCGAAAGTGCAGTTATCAAGTATAGACCCTAGTGCAGATCGTAGTCCCATAAATCTCCGCAATGCTTAGTGGAGGCGCGACATACGGAATGTTCAATCGCCGCGAGTTGTAACGTACCGATACACACTTTTTGCGTCGTTCGCCGGATTGGGAGGATTACGGAAGGATTAGGTAAGATAATACTTGTTTATGGAAAAGTGCGCGATGCTCGAGCGAACCAAAACAGTTGGCGAGAAAGGTGAAGACGCGCACGATACTCGCCAAGCGTCAACCGTCGATAATAAACGACGCTCGTATTCGCGGCGACCGCGAACCGATAACAATCAACACTTCAAAAGCATCGCGATTGTCGTGGAAGTCGGACAAAGGGTGAAAAATCGGGACGTCTGGTCATCTTAGCTATATATGTCGAGAATAGAGGAGATTACTCCGTAATAATTTACTTGTGAATACTCGTAAGTACATTGCATATCGTAATATGTCCTAATGACGTCGTTGTTTTCGGTACTCTAATATTTATTTTCGCAGGAGATTCACAGGACACAAGCGAAAGACGTATGGAATACGGAACGTTGTGTCCATAGCAGTTACTTGGTATGAAAAGATCGCAGACGCGCGCGCTGTCAATCACGTACACCAAAAGTTCATTAGCGCATCGAAAGTGCTAAAAGTGCATGAATGTGAACGCGCCAATGATGCGAATGAGGTCGCGCGTTTATAACGACGCGATTTGTACGGCGCGCCGCGGCGGATGTCTTAACCACTTGCTCGAGCTACTAACCACTCTAGACCAATCGCATTCGTTTCGCACTACGAGGTTGTCATCGTGGTTATTCAATCTAGGCGTTGGTAACAAAGCGTGCGAAATGCTCGATCTTTTCGCGCCAAGCAGGAGCCATGGGCACATATCGATTCACATCGCTCCGCGTTTCTCGCGTCTTTTATCCGTCCAAAGTGAATCTTGCGCGTTAATAAGTCTCGGGGAGTGTCGAGAATAGCGATGTGCGATCGCCAGGGCGTATCGTGAAGACGTCATTTGTAAGTAATCTTCTCGTTTCTCTTCGCGATATATGCGGCCGGTGCTTGTCGCGACGTGTCGTGCCGACGTTTTTTACATTTGCTAAAAACATCGACTCACTCAAGTAGCAATAGAATCGGGCGATCGTCGGATTTATTGAACGGGAATTAAAAATGCGATGACAATCAGAGAGAAAGAGAGAGATATGCGGAATATTCGGGCGGTTGCGTCAGCTTAGGAAAAGAGATACGGAGAGAGAAGTATCTCATAGAGCGCGTTCTTTTCGGCCGCGGCACCGTTCACATATTAGCGTATATTTTCAGCGCGATTCAACAATCGCGTGACGATCTTAATTCTCGATCTTTCTACATTGAGCAACTGTCGTGGACACATCGATTGACATCGCTCCGTATTTTACGCGTCTTTAACCTGTCAAAAGTAAGTCTCGCGCGTTAATAAGTTTCGGGAGTGTCGAGAATAGCGATGTGTGATCGCCGTATCGTGAAGACGTCATTTATAAGTAATCTTCTCGTTTTTCCTCGCGGTATATGTAAGGTGATTAGATTTCCCAGCCCTGAATTCGGAACACTTCATAAATGTGTAAAGCGGGGGGAAGGGGGTAAAAAGATCCGAAAATTATTTGACAATCATTGAAAATGATGACAAATCGGTGTTCCAAGTAACACTCGAAAAAATTCGGGACAAAGGGTGAAAAATCGAGATTATCCTGAAAAAATCGGGACGTCTGGCCACCTTAATAACAATCAACAGTTCAAAAGCATCGCGACTTTCGTCGGAAGTCGGAAGTATCTGGAAATAGCTCGTGCATCGCGTACTGTTCCGTGAACGAATTATTACGTTTGAGGCAGACGAATGATAAACATACCGCGACGCAGCGTACGTGCATCGTTTTATTGGTTATGTTCTCGTCAGGTAATATGAATATTCTGTTTGATTGAAATATTGAATCGGATTCTCATCTATATTGCGTTACTTATAAGACGTGTTAACCTAAGCTAATCCAATCTTCGATCAAATCGTAGTTGCACGAGTATCAGTGCTGCCAGTGGATATTCGGAGTGCCACGATCGAACAACGAGAAACCGAGACGAAGGACGAAGGACGGAGGACGTGGAACGCCGAAACATGGACAGCGATGCATCACATACTGCTGGGCTATGTATGTCAAATTATTTGACGTGCAGATTATTTAACGAAATTGGAGAATAACGAGATATCCGATTCGACATTTAGACTAGTATTCATAGCAAATAATCACATCATTGCCAAATAATTATAATTTTGTAAGGCTCTTTCACACACACACACACACACACACACACACACACACACACACACACACACACATCATTCGTCAATTTGTACGTATACTTCATACAACAAGAAGTATTGAAAATAACGATTCAATGCAAAGATAATTTAATATTAAATTATTCTTAAATAAATATCTTTTTAAGTTTCAATATAGTGAAAATGACAATAACCATTTATAGAATCAAAGTACAATGATAGTCTATTAAAGTTAATCTATACATGCACTTTATACAACTAAGAAATATTAAAAATAACAATTTAAATATAAAGATAATCGAATATAAATTATTCTTGAATAATTATTCTTGAATAAGTGCTTCTTTAAGCTTCAACATGATGATGATAATAACCATCTATAGAATCAAGCTAGAGCAATAGTTCTGTTAATATAATAGAATATTAAGTAATAATTTGCTAATGTTAACATATACACTTCAGAAAGAAATTATAACAGTTGAATACAAAAATAATCGAATATTAAATTATTTTTAAATAAATGTTTCTTTAAGCTTTAATATAGTGAAAATGAAAACCATTTATAGAATCAAGGTAGAACAATAGTCTGATACTGCCTACCTATACATGCAATTTATATAACAAGACATATTAAAAATAACGATTCAATGTAAAAATAATCGGATTAAATTAATCTTGAATAAACACTTCTTTAATCTTCAACATGATGAAAACAGCAATAACCATTTATAAAATTACACACACATACACACACAAGGTAGAACAATAGTTTGTTATTATTTCAATATTCTGTATCGGTCTTTCGAGTTCAACGAGCAATGAAAAACCAAAATTTCGAATCGAGATATTTCGAGATTCATTATTGATTCCTCAAGTTCGACAGAATTTGCAAGGTTAATGTACGACCAAAATTTCAACTCGGGACGTTCCATACGACCGACGTACATCGTCCTCACGAGCATATTCAGATGCAAGCAACGAAGTGGCGCGCGCGCACGGATAAGACGAGCGCAATTTGTTGCACCTGCATCTGTTCCTTACCGCGGGACGTCGTGAGCAAACGCACGAGTCCTCCTCACCTGCGGCCTCGTTACGCTCGCGTCGCAGTTCAGCTCGCAAAAACATCGATTTTCCCGAAGGTCTTGAGACACACGCTCATGTTTTCCGCCCGGCGAATTAATTTCGTAGAACCAACGAGCGAACACTGGTGTTTTGCTGGCGCTTTAACGCAGCACGTTGCGAATTTCTAACCGAAATATCATAAAGTCTCAACTCGAATCTCGCGACTCTCTACACTCGGCATAAATCAGTCCCCTGATGCTAATATTTTATTCGTCGCTCACGTTCGTGTGCGCAAAAATTGGTCCAGTTATCTTTCGGATAACTCTGGTAAATCGAAAAAAAGAACTATCAATCAGTCGGAATCAATTAAGTGCGCTACGTATCAAGAGTAAACGCGAAGAATTTTTAAAAATTCGTCTCTCTAGCTAACTGGCATTCTTGAAATGTTTAGTAATTGGGAAAAATTGACAAGATGTGGATTTCTATGGGATTAAAATTCAATCTACACGTTTAACCTAAAAGTTCCATCTTCGTTACTGCTGAGCTCTTCTCTCTCTCTCTTTTTTGTTCTCTCTCTCGTCTTTTCTCTTCCACATATTTTTCCTGCTGTACGTTTCAACGCTTCAACGATCGCGCGACGTTAATTGTGCCACCAGGCGCGAGTGACTTTTCCGACGTGTCTCTGATAATCACCGTGATTGTAGCGACAATAAGCCGGGTCCGAGTCGTCTGAAGGTGCCGAGCCGCGCCCGGTATATGCCGCATACACCGGTTGCAGCGACGCGCATCCTTGCCGTGGACGGCGCGCCGACAGTACGGTGAAATTTGCCTGCTACTAGTAACACCACGCTGAAGTGAATACTAAATACGTCGTTTAGCCGGAAACCAACGACGAGGACGAAGGACGGCTTGCTCGATTCGCGAGCGCTGTTCCCTCGGCTCGAACGTTTCGCCGTCGTCATTGAGCGCTTTCGTCAAGGAACACGCGACGACTTAATTTCGCTCAACGTTTGCGTCGAATTTGCGACGGGCGCGTGCAATTAGGAGGATGCGTTCGCAGTCGCAAGAGCTTCTCCTCGCGAAGCCAATCCGCGAGCAAACTAGAGCGCGAATAATCGAGACGGTCCGATTGATTTTATTGCACTAATTGAAGAGGGGAAAATCGATCGCGGAATCAGCGGGATCGCCGGAAGATAACTCCTGGCGAAGCGCGATTTCCCATTTTAAATGAATCCACTACTGGCTCCTCATAAATTACAGGAGAATTGCCGACGAGGGCAGATGCGCGCGCGCGCGTTCCATAATTGGCCCGATATTAGACGCGGTGAAATTCGACATTACGCTCAACGATCTCACGGCACGGCGGCCAACCATTGAGAAGTCGCGGTCGAAGGCATCATCCCGGAAAGCATCAGCGGAATCGGTTTCCGTGCGGAATTCGTCTTTAAAATCCGCGGTTCCCGTAATGAGGGAATTTGAATACGAACGGGATTGCGCACGAGCGCGTCTAAGGAAAACATAATTGTATATTCCACGTTATATCGGCGCAGCGTGGCGCGGCGCGGCGCGGCGCGCGCGTATGGGCGTACCATCTATATTAAATCTTACCGTAAGACTTCTGGTTCTGGCCGCTTACTGCAGACTGCTCCCGAATTATAATGTTCTTGCCGTCTTCCCGGCGCCAGGATACGCGCGGCGCGGGTACGCCTCTAGCCCGGCACGTTAACTTCACCTGTACGTGTTATGAAACCGGAATTATAAAGAGAAGCGAGTTCGTTATTGCACTCCACTAATGCCGTGCTTCATCCAAATATATTTGGAGGAAGAAAGGAGCGGAAAGAGAAAGAGAGAGAGAAAAGCACTCTCTGTCTCTTTCTCTCTCCCTCCGATGCTATGCTAAAACACGTACGCGCGCGAGGACGCTTGTCCGGAACAATGGCCGCTCGCTCGCGCGTACTCTAGTGGAAAACGAATCTATGGTCGCGAGAGGCATGAAATATCCGGGATACTGAGAAATTTTTAACGGCGTCCTTCGGTTACGTTCGCGCGGCCGATTTTCACGGCGCGCGCACGCGCTTGCTTCTCGAATTCCCGGTGACGTTTGGCATTCGGTTGGGCGATCTTGTGCCGTTTCGCTCGGCTTTAACACGATCGAACGATGCCGCAGTCATTTACGAAGTGGCCGACTCGTCGCGTCAACATGATTCTCAAAATTTGTCGCCCTGTTTCCGCGTCCGGGCCCATCAATTATGAATATCGGCTCGATTCTCATCCGTTACGGAGTTATGGATATTCGAATTGAACGGCGACACATAGCGGGGCTACGAGTTGCGAAGCTCGCACGCGAAATGAATATCCGCGTGCTCTACAATGGAAAATATAAACGGCATGTTGACAATTAACGACACGACACGTGTCGCGGCATACTGCGCTGTTTGTTGGCTTATATTCTACTGACACGCGGCTGCCTGCTGGCTTGCAATATCTGTGACGTTTTTAGATGAACATCACGTTAGCACTGTACCGAGGTGTAACGTAAGTTATTACATCGCATACCGTGCGCGCGTATAATGCGCACATATATGTATAAATTACCGTATCCGTAGAGTTTGTTGAAAAAGAAAACGTAAAATATATTAAATGTAAAAACGTACAGTGAATCTCGAACAAGTCAGATGATTACTCCGGAATGTGCCTCGCGTTTTCATCAGCTTATTATATTATCGTACAGTCCACCGTGCTATTCATATTATTTGTCGATGCGGTAATGCAATAAATTAGAAACATACTGGTAGAAATGACACTTTGGCGAGTATTATTTCGAAAGTTCGCGCGGACCAAGCGAGTCTTTTCCGCGTTTCGCTGGAAGTCCTCTTATCAATTTCGAATCATGGCTGCGGCTAGGCCGGGAACAAATATCCTAAACGCAGTACCCTATTGCTCGGAGGAAACGAGTTTGAAAGTTGTAATCCCGCGTATCGAAATTCATTCGGGCCGGAAAGAGAAAAAGCGTCGCGTCGCCTCGCGCAACGAGAAGAGAGCGACGCATCGTGGGAAATTTGCAGGCTTCAGATTTTTTCGCGAACACACGAGAGACACGTCGTTAATAACAACAGTTATCGTCCGACAAAATTACTTATTTATCCGGATGGAGCCAGCGCGCGCGCCGACGGGAGACGAATTCACGAACCCGAAACGCGATTGAAATTTCAATTTTTTATCAACTTTATCTGGCGCGTCGGGTCGGCGGAAATCCTCGAATTTTTTTTCGACATTCGTAGTGCGGCGACTGACAGTCATATTTCGGGTTGTCGCTGTTGCCTATCGTGTGTGATACATTAAAGCCGTGAAATCAAAGACGACTATGTGTGGTACGCGACATGATGCACTTAACGAATTATAACGCAAATGATATCGCTTCGCAGACTGACGTATTTAATGTTTAAAGCATTTACTCCGATATTTTTCTACCACGCTATCCACGTAGCCTTTCAGAAGGTACACGTTACACTTGACGTTACATTTAGCCAGTGCACAGGCCATGTTAAGAATTATACTCGTTATGATAAGAATATTACTCACGCGAAAACGAGTCGGGAATTAAAGTTTATCGCGGCAGAAAAATCAAAGCGATGTGTGTGTGTGTGTGTACAATTTAATTTCCTACTGAATACACATCGCCACCCTCCCCCCTCTCCGCCCCCTGTCAGACGTCGCATATTTGTACAATATACGTGATTCCCTGTTGTAACGAAAACAACGCGACATGTGATAGTTAAACACGTGTCCCACGACGATATCATCAGGGAAGGCGAGAAGCTAACTTGTACAAACGGACAGAGCGATACAATTTTCGAGTGTACCGACCGTGGTGGCGTATAATAAGAGGGCCCTCCGCTATAGTATACGCACGCCGGTATAATTTCAAAGTTTAAAACGGTCCACGAGAGACAGTGGCTGCGCGAGGGACTGTCTCGTCTTCGTAAAAGCGCCCTGTCGGACGTTCTGAGGGAGGAGCGCAATATTCTTTATTGGAGCGACACCGTCGACCACGCGCGCGGAAAAACGCGAGGATGAGACGGGTATTCGTACAAACTGCGCGGCTGCCACGGAATATGAATTGTGAGCAACAGGTCACTTATTTCAACTGATGGCTTACTTACAGCATCCAGTGCGAAACGCCGATGCCGGTTATGTGCGACCATCGCGTGTGCGTCTCGCAATCGCGATCCCGACTGACGAGACTACTCTAGCTACCTACCTATCTTCCTTCCTTCTTTCCTTCCTGCTTTTTCAGTTCGCTGTGCCCTTCGCGCGGGAGAAATCATTCTCTCGAGAAGCGAGAACGTCATCGCCGGAACGTCATTCGCACGCGCTGCGTACGTCCGCATCGCCCGCGGGATCGGGTCCTGCGTTCGCGCAATTATCGAATTGAGCGAATTACTCGCGATCGGTTAGATGCAAAATCGATTACGCACCTTCGATTTGATACCGTATTCCTTCGATCTTTTTAGGATTACACGAGATCGGAGGCTCGACTGAAGTTTCTAATAACGAAAAGACTGTGTAATAGTCAGAAGGGGAATCTCGTGACAGTGTGCAGCGTTAAACAACGGCGCTCGCAACAGGTGTCGCAAATTGCAGTCACGGTATCGCTTACGCACATGAAGCGCACCGCGATATTGCGTTTGCACTTGTTCCTTTAGTTTAAATAGGGACGCAAGCGTCTTTCCGGTTTGGTTAATTGATCGACGAACTTGATGTCGCGCGCGCCGACAGAGGACAGTCGTGTTTCACTAAGTCGATGGTGGCTTTTCAATCCGACACCGATATCATCTCGGCGATTTAAGGCGCGTCATGCCGCGGCGGTAACGCCAAGCCCACGTGTGTTTAAGGCGTTAATGACGACGAATAGGCGAAGTTGCGAGTTATTCGCGGACTCACCCGCGGGACCGGCTTGCACTCGCGGCCGTATTGCCGTTCTCCGATATATAGATTTCTCCGGCATGAATCACGTGGTATAACGTTGGCCTGATAATTTACTACACGCGTAAATCAGCCCACATTTGTAAGTAATAAACCGTCGTTTATTCATGACTGCTCCTGCACGGGGTAAATTATTTAACGACCCCCGGCCTAGTAGCGCCATAACGCATCCCTCTTCTTGGCATATTTACTCGCAAATTTATTTCCGCGCGCGCGACGGAATTCTTCGACATTGAGTCGACGGCGAACTAATGATCGGGAACGGCTTCTGATCGAAGTTAATGTCATATTTTAAGGTGCAGCGATGTAAAAGCTTTTTTTTTTATCGTTGAAAAGTCGCAACGCTCGGTCGTTATCAGTCGAACATATTTCTTCCTATTAAATAGAATGATGAGGACGTAACGTGAAGCGAGGATATTTACCTGGCCACCCTCGCCCACGTTCATGTCGCTCGATGTACCTTCGGGGATGATGTCGGGTGGTTCCACAATCGTCAGCATACCTGTCTGGAGGAAACAGATGATTTGGAGTTAGTGTTAATTTAGTGGGCTAAAAGCGCGAAATTTACGTTATTATCTTTCTTTAATAATGGCCCTTTAATTTGTCTTTTACACAACGCGAGCAAATTTTCCCACTACATCGCTATACCCGAAAAATTGCACTTACACAAAAGCGCTTAACGCCAGCGCGTCATAATTTCCTCCTTCTTTTTATCGCGGATTATTCGGCTTCAAATAATAGAGCGGAATCATTCATACACGAACGTTGCTTCGTGCTGTCCGCCTCGTCAAATTTTTCACAATTGCCTGCGCGAATTTTAATTAACGCATTTGCGAATTTCGCAGTAATGACTTGAGGGGGAGAGCGCGCGCAAGGGTATACAGCCGAGGTAATTATATCTCTGACTTCAATTATTCTCCTACGAAATCGCAGCGCACCGCAAAGAACGTATTTTTCATTAGTATAATACGGCATCTCTGAGGCTTATCCGACGTGCGGCGTTGATAACGGCGAAGCGAATCTGGCCGATAACATATAGCACGCTTTATTTCCCTCGTCCGCGCACACCGGCGGAGACGATATTTGAAATAGCCAGCTATGTACCTGCGACGGCTGGCGGACATATGGTAAATAAAAGAGCAAAATTAATGAAAACAAGCATATCTCTTTCTCCCTCGCTTTCTCTCTATCCCACGAGTGCTTAATTCTCCGGGATTAATTACGTGACCGCGTTCGGAAAAATGCGCGACTGTAGTCGACTTTTCGACGTAACGGGCGATCTTGCGACAACAGCTCGCTCCCTTCCTCTCGCTTGTGTCTGGTTTTTTTCTTTTTATTTTTTCTCACTCTCCACCCCGTCGCGAATCAGTAAACTACGCGATATAGCCAGTATGAGGCAGTCGGATAACGCGTGGTGGGTCCTTAAATCTCAAGTGTCTCGCATATACCTTAGCCCGACGCTGGTAACGTATTATAACCGCGCAACCTGCTGGGGCAACGACGGCGCGGATGCCGGTATATGTATGTGTAGATGTGTGTATTATGGGTTATTCGTTAATTAACGGCACTCGGTGGCGTTAAATACCATAGCTAACAGTCGGCGTTATTATCACTCGTCGCGACGCTCAACAATCTTTGTCTTGCACGTGCATGCGTATTATACATATTGCACGTAGCGCAAAAAAATTCGCGTCACTGTAATCCGGTCATTTCTCTTGCCGATAGTTTACATTCATTACATATTGAAGAATCGCCCTTGCATATCGAGCGTTTCATACCGATTAATATGCTTTGATAATAACAAAGCTTTGAATAATACAATTTTCTGAATTGCCGCATACAGCGGAATTTATTGGCAATATTGGCGGGTTCGAGAGGGGCGACTCTCGATTCTAGAATGCTGGAATGTAAATTACACGAAAATACGCGCAAAATATACGCGAGAACATCTGTGATCTCGCACGGGACGTGCCGAGACGCGCTTATTACGAGACCCTGGGTAATGTGTCATCGAAACGTTCGATTTGCGACACACTCTCCCAGCCGCGAGCCGCGAAATATCCTCCGCGACAAAGTGCTTCGCGCGCTAACTACGCATTCTCGACTCGCTCATCGGTGCGGGGGCGTTATCGCGTTATAATTCCCGAGAGAGGAGTCGACAGCGCCACGGGATCGAGGACGCGAGGATCACGACTGCGTCGGGGACTTTTGTCATACGTCAAGCCACGAGACGTCAGTACGAGTGCAAGGACCTCTTCCCCGTCTCCGCTCCTGCGCCTCCTCGTACCCGTCGGAGTGCTTCCTCTCTCTCGAATCTCCTCATTTTACCCGCGATTTAAAGGGAGCCCCTCCGACGTCTCCGACTGTCCCTCCTGCCCCGGCCTCCCTCTCGCCTACTCTCACTCCCTCGCAAGACGGAGGCTCGAGGTGTGCGCGCAATTACGAGGATGTAATCCACGCCACGGCGAAACTTCAATCGTTATAACCGAGTTGTCTGGCAAGCCGCCGCCGTCGCCTCGTCGCGCCGCGCCGCTCGAAACAGCCCCGACGAATGCAAACTGCGTACCGCAGCGACGATGACGAGCGCCGGTAGACACGTGCCCGAGCGCGTAAACTCGTACGTGTCGCCACTGAATTATGAAACTCCCTACCTCCGCGTTACTACGTCGCCCGCGCGCACGCCGTAAATTAATTATTACGCGCCTGCGAATGACTGTATCAGTCCGCGTCGACGCCGACGTCGGCAATGCTGAATGAATGGGTCTCGTCCGATCGACCTCTGCTTCCCGCTTCTACCGATAACGATCGTGTCATGTCCTTCCAGGCTCGCGCGTATTCTATAATTTCTCCATATTTTTTCCCCGCCGATTCGTGAAGAAATGTATTTTTCGCCCCTCGCTGTGCCGCGATATGAGATTGTCCAGGTTTTGTACTCTCACATTTGTCCTGATATGTCGCGAAGCATACACGCAGAAAATCGCGACATGAGACATCGCTGGCGGATGGTGTTTTCACGAGGGCCCACATTCGCTCTACTCATCGCTAAATCAGTACGTTCGTCGCGTTGAGATTATGCAGATAACCCCGCAGAAGAAGTGACTCCGTGAAATTTCAAGAAAACCGACGCGCAAGCCGACGCTTCTCCTCTACATACGTACATGCAAATTTTATCAGACACGCAGTCGGAATTATAAGCGAAGGGCGCCGTCGTATTCGGCAACGAAGCGGGGAAATATAGTTACCGGGGAAGGGATGAGATTGCACCCTTCGCCAAGGTTGACGGCCGTATTTTAACTGCTGATATATACGCGCGCGGAGCGAGGAAGAAAGGGAGTAGGGAACGATGATCCGGAACACAGGAAGAGCCCGTGTTTACGCAGGAGAGATTTGTCTGTATGAGCGACGGTTTATCTCTTTGATTACCGCCTGAATCCCCGCGATTCGATGAATGTATCGAGAGAAAATATGGACGCGGCTTTGATTTTCAAACCGTTCGAGAAATATTTTCTCTTTCTCGCTTTCGAACTGCGTGTCATCGCGAGTTAATATTTTCCTAAAATAACGATGCAACATACAGACATGCATATATAATATAACATATTATTATACAATGTAACAATATTCCATCACGCAAATTGTATTTGCAAAAGTAATTTACTTTGCAGCCATTCTCGTGAACCGAAAATCACAGTAGCATGCGCGCGCCAGTAGACTAATACTCCGCATCGCTGTTTTCCGCTCATTTGACACAGTTACAAGATTCGCATTTCGACTTTCTCTCCAATCGGATTTGTCGAGGAATGCCCTGGCAAATCACTGTTCCGCAGTTCGACCGCTCGCGGCGAACTGTGTCCGTGCTCGAAAGTAAAGACCAATGTAGGGCGGGTAAGAAGGGGGCAGGTATGAGAAAGAGACGGGAGAAATGAGATATCAGTGATGCGCGGCGAGATAATAATCATAGAACTCAACCAATCAAAGAGGGTGGACTCGATTGAAGAATAAAAGACGCGGCAAAGTACGAGGATTCCATTAAAGTTTCCCTCACGAAAAGCTCGCATCGGAATTCACGCTCGACGGATAAATCTCTCATTAGCGCTAAATCGTCAAACAAGAAATTCGTCTGTTCCTTTTAACGCGCGAATGAAATAAAGAAAGTCTGCCTCGTTCGCATTTAAAGTATTAAATTTCGATCTACTTAATATATTCTGCCTCCCCTCCCCCCTCCCGCGGATTATCTCTATTTCATATTCACCCTTCTCACGGATATCCCAGGCGATCGGCCGGGGGGGCATTCATCGGTGTTTCTCGCGGAGTGTTCATTACTTAGCTTAGTGCCTCGTAAAGCAAACGGCTAAAGGAACCAGGAACGGGAAAGAGGCACCTGCCGCCGTCTAGGCAGCCGGCGCGCGTTACGCTCCGTGTGCACTATTTAAGATTACAGCTTTCTTCCCGCGAGAAGAGGGAAACTCCGGCTGGCAGGCAGGGCGGGGCTCGAATTCAATCCGAAATGTCGGAAAATTAGATCCCTCGACTCTCGACTTCCAGCGGTCTCTCGTGCCGTATCACTTTACCGGATGCTAGAGACGGACGAGGCGTTACTTTGAGACCGCTAGACAGCCGCGCGGTCGCCTCTCGTGCAACAACGGTTTCGGACTAACGGGAGTATGGCGCGCGCGCGCGCGTTAACTAAAGTGCCTCGTTAAGCGCGTCTTTTGCACCACGAGAAAAATCTCCACGTCGCGTTCTCGTAACGCGAAATTTTTGCGCGTCTAATTGCCGCCCGGCCACGTTGGCGCGACGTCCTACATTTAAAAGGGACGCGCGCGGAATTCGGCAAGTAGTCGTCGACGCGCGCGGAATTCGGCAAGTCGTCGTCGACGCGCACGCAATCGCGAAAAATGCACACGATGCCGGCGACGTCGTTCGATCGCCGGGACTCCCGACTCTTCAACATTTCCTCTAACCTCTTCGACGTTTCCTCACGTACGAAAAAGTCGACTCGCCGTGACTCGGCGCGAACGAGACGGACGACCTTCGTCTCCTCCTCGGCAATTACTATCCTGGTCGCGTATAATAGTCGTTAAACACGACTTAATATTCCAATCCTTTTCTGATAAGACTATACGCGGCTATACCGTAACGCGAACGAACGAGAAAGAGGGGAGGAGGGAGGAAACAGCGGCGAGGAGGCGCGAGGAGGATTTAAGCGCTACTGGGGGCGGCTGTTCATAAACGGGTACCGACGTTCCCGAACTAGCGAAGGCGGCTCGTTAAGTTCCCGGGCTCGTTAAGTATGCCGCGGGTCTACCAGCCGCGCGCGGAGGGCGAAATGCCTTCGATACTTATACAGATTGTTATGTCGGCAGCAGCTAATACTCACGGTAGCTTGACGCGGCTTGGTAATACTCTCGCGGTTTGCTATCGCGTCGCCGACGACGATTACAGGCGGCGGAAAGTATCGAAATGTGTAAACGAGGTTACAGCAACTCTGCAGTTTGCTTCTGCGCGGGTGCGGTAATACTTCAAATTTCTCTCTCTCTCTCCTCTCCTTTCTCTCTCTCTCTCTCTCTCTC